CCAATGAATTTTTTTATACATATCCAAACCATCTTAACAATTATTTATCATTTTCTCATCAATAGATGTCATGCCAACTCTTTCTTGTATATGATTATTATGAAACTTATCTTTATATATAATTTACAAGCAATACAATATCTTATATTTTTAAAATAACATTAAAAATATAAAATAAACAAATTGTATTATTTGTAAGTCAGAAACCATATATCTCATTTTTAACTTCTGTGTGTAATGCATTAATCTATTCTAATTTCTAATAAAATAATCAAAATTAAATTAGCTAGATATCTATTCCCTTGCAATGAACTAGATAGAAAGATTACAATCAAACTTTAAATTTTATAATATTTAAAACTGTTATTAGTTAGAATAAGCAAATGAAGGAAATATTTTAGATTGGGTAATAGTTATATTATTATTACCATTCAATACCCAGCGTAGTCCCACTTGATTGCCGTAGCAGAAATATTAATGTATATGTTGATGTCATAGCACACCCTTTCACAAACTGTATGACTAAGGATCAATGACTGCATGATGAAAAAATTTAACTGCTATAAAAAATATTCAACTCATAACAAAGGTGAATCTAAATGGGTTTATATTAGGGGTATCTTGCTCTTCACATACCCAAACAAATCTAGAATAAACAAATTTCTTGATATTATATTAGGAGGATATATAAACATGAATTGAACAAAAGCATATCTAAACAAATTTCAAACACCACAAACTCTTTCAATGTGTGTCAATGCTTCATCTCTAAAATTTGTTTAATAGCCTTATTAGGGGTCTTCACATACCTAAACACAATGTATCTTATTATTATATCATGTAACTAATTAAAAGCTCTACCCCTTCTAAAATTAATGTTCATCATTTCTGCATGTCGTACATGCATCCGAACCTTGAGATCTACATTGTGATTTTCAAACAACCCACTATGTTTAATATTTGTAGGAATGTAACTCGAAATCACATATTGTGAAGTTCACAATTCCTCATACATGGTCTAGATTTTTACTTTTCTTGATTTCATAGTGGAGACTGCAAAGGTAGTCAATTAAGGCCACAAGTTGAAGCTCATCCCTAAACTCAATTGTTAGACCAACAATGGCCTTAAATTTTTATCCATCTAAGTTAAAAGTCAGCATTCAATTTTTACATGCAAATTGTGTTGTAGTTATTTGTAGGGGTGTCAAAAAATTAAGTCCTGCATTATCTATAAATATGAAGAAGAGAAAATAGGCTAGTAAATAGGCCAAGAAAAAGAGAGGTTTCATGCATATAATAGTGAGCTAATATCAACCAACCCATTGTAAACTGATGATTCACCCTAAACTCTAATACCATAGTTGGGCCCATGAAAATATATCTATTTAAAAGAGCTTACCAAAAAATCATTAAATCCCAAAACCAAGCTTTAATACCATTTGCAAGAGAAGCTTTAATACCATTTATTGGCAAGAGAAGCTTCTTGAAAGGGGAGAGAAAATAGCTAGGCCCCTGAACCAAAAAATCATTAAATCTATGTTTTCAAAAGCTGTCTACATAATCAAGTTGAGTGCACTTGATGAGATGAGAATATGGGGGCCCTTATTTTAACTTATTTCATAAAAAATCATTTATTTTTTTGAAAAAATATATTTTGTGAGTTTTTAATATGTTTGTTTAAACTTTTAAAAATAATTAGAATATTAAAAAAATATATTTCTAATTATTTTAAGAAGCTATTTTAAGTAAATTTAAAAATAATCTAATATGATAGATGAGAGAAAATATTTAAGAAGGCGGAATGCACAAAGATATCATAAAATTTTAAAATAATATAATAATAAATTATTTTTATAAAACAAAAATCAAGGAAGATATGATAAAATTTAAAAATAATTAACTAATCATTTTTTTATCATTGTAACTAAACATAAAGTAATGTTTGCTTTCTATAAAATCTCTACAAAAATAAGTATCTTTTTATAAAATCTCTAAATTACTTAAAAATTACTTATTTTTTAATGTTAAACAAATTTGAGACCATCATTTATAAATTAAGGTATTCTTTAGGAGAAAAAATAAATAAATTACGGTCTTGTTGTAAAAATAAAATATGATATCGAGTTAATAAATGAAAATGGATAAAAAATCTTCATCAACTGATTGCATGATCTTAAAATATAGTATTTTTTATATGGTTATTTGATTAAGTTAGACTCGAACTTAATTGAGGATAGCTCTTTCAAAAATGTTTATTGCATTTACACATTCAAATCTGAGAGCTCGTATTTAACGAGTCATGAGCCCCGTCAATTCCACTAATTAAGATTAATGCCTGATGGTAATCTTAAAAATATTATTATTCAGATTTTCCTATTCAACATTAAAGTGAATCATATTTTTGGATCTATGGGAGGGGAAGATGTGGTGGCAGAAGTGAACTATACGGTGAGAGTTTAGACAAAAGCCAATTAGCAAAGGAGTGGGCAAATTAAAATACCCAGCACGATTAATGTCTCTCAATAAAGCCAAACCAAGACTTGAACTTTAAAGCTGAGTAAAACCAAACATGGGGGCAATTACTAGTCAATGGCCAGTGATCCCCTATAGACTATATGAGAAAAAAGGTTAATATGTGCTTATAAAATGAATTCCTTTAATAAAAAGGCCACAATAATAATCAATATAATTGTCTTATTGTTCACCCATGCCTCAGCCTCGTATATAAGCAAAAAAGCAATTGCTTATGTCATGATACTCTACTTATTTATTGCAAAAAACTCCATTACCAGCTGAGTTTTGGTGTTTATTATTGTAGTGAAATCTGGATCATTCAAAACTCATTTTAGTGACAATTATAAAATTATCTTTATTTTAAATTATAAAACATATTAAAATAATAATTGATTAAAAATATAAAAATATACAAATAAAATTATATCCAATTTAGACCATTCAGGTCAAATTTGGATGGTCCATTCATTGAAACTGCTCACCTCTGGTTACTTCTATTCAATGAAGGGCAAAACAAGATGAATATCTTAAATCCATGTAATAAAGGGTGTTTTATTCTTTCTTTAGAAGATGTGCATCTCATGATCATGAATCATCAACATAACTTTGACAGCTAAGAGCCTCTTGAGCCTTGACTCAATGACACCCCACACTTTCTTTGGGGGAAAAAAAAAAACCAAGAAGAGGTTATAGATTCTATGTCACATACGGTGAAGAGACCGACATGAGCATATGAATCTGATGAGTGTGTGCATGTGTCATCGTTCCTTATAGGGGAGAAATGATAGGTTGGCAGGTGTGTGGCTTATATTCGATCCTTTTCAGTAGAAAAACATAAATTTGGCATAGACTCAAATTTAGGACTAATTCATTAACAAAATGAAAAATTACCGGCCAACCAGCCGGAAAGCAGCAGTGGAAATCCTTTTTCTCCCATGTTTATTGAATGAATGTGTTCTTCACTTAGCACATACAGTCTCCTCTTTTCAGTGCACCCGATATATATTTACAAGTTTTTTGAAAACACAACGAAAATTAATGTCGGAGGAGTTGGATACCTTAATTTTAATTAGCAATGCGTACGTAATAATTAAGTGTGGAACACATATTGACATTGTTATTGATGTTTAAAAAATGAAATTGTAGACCAAGTTATTTTTCCCCAACAAAATGAGAGGATCACGATCTGAAGAATTCTCCCACAAGCGGTCTGCTATCTGAAGATCAAGTCGTTTTATCAGACAAATTAGAAAGACACGAAGGTTCCTTCCTCCATGATTTACGGTAACATCTCTACTTCTGACCTAATAGCTATATATAACTATTCAAAATCAATGCACGCGCTTTGACCTATCTGCACTATCTAGCAGCCAAATGAATTATTATACCTTCAAAGGAAATCTCAAGAGTGCAAGCTATAAATGTGGGTGGCAGAAGCAAACGACGCGTCCCTACAAGTTTGTGTGTTTTAACACTGAAGCTGAGTGTCAGTTGAAGTTATGGTTAATTAAGGCAATAACACCGTGAATTAATATAACCCTCAACTCAATTTGCGGTTCAACTGTTTTAGCCAAGCACTCCTCCATGCCAACTAAGGGTTAGAAATTAGAATGATGATTGGGAGAAATTCTTGTATAGACATGATGCAATGCAACACGTCATCTACACTCTATCAAATAAAAACATGTTATATCATATGGCTATAAATAAAAATTGATTCTACTATTAATAATAAAAGAGAGAGAAAAAATAAGAAATTAAAGAGTCACTCTATTGAGAAAAAAAATAGTCATTAAAAGTAATAACACATCAATTTTATTTAATTGAATTGGTGTAATTTTATTAGATAAAATATAAATTACGTGATATATTAGATTCATGCAAGAATTTCTCATGAGGATCGTGGCTCCTGCCCTGGCTTTATTCTGCTGAAGAGATGGAAAGGAGCAGACCTCTCACTTTGAGAACAACATAGAGGCAGGACAATATATACTTGGAGACAACCTAAGCCGGTTCTGAAACCCATTGCTTGTAAATTCTATCAGAAATCTGCTTGAATCAGCCCACTAGATTATCAGATTCACTAACGTGGTTCGGTATATATATCTTGGGCCTGGAGATGAATGGGCTTCTGAACATTTCTTCCTTATGGTAATAACCGTACCATGACTTGGGCTTTTGAAGACTCCTCAATACCAGATTAATATGTAAAATAGTGGACCCTACAGAATATTTCGTGGCAAGTTCACCCCAATTGTCCTCGCTTGCTTCATTCACGGCATCAGAAATAATCGGCCCTTATTGTTCCAATCTATCTCCTCATGTTTTTAATTCGTGGCAAATTATGTGGGTAAGAAAAACATAGGAGAGAAATGAGTCCATGTTGGAAAATGTGTTCAAACATGGGAGATTGAAACCTAAAAGTGTTATTCACGTTGATTGCAAGTCTTTTTAAAAGCACTTTACATCTTAACATTTTTTTTAGAGTAATATCATTCCATTTTTTTTTTTTAAGTTGTAACTTCTCATTACCTTAAATCTGAAATGTTTGGGGAAAAAAAAGAAATTTGACTCATGGGGGACAGGTGTCAACCAGGTACTGGATGATCCAAAGCAAAACCATCGTGCGCCATCCTTCTTCCTCCACGCGAGTTCAACGTTGTAAAGAACGTGTCGTTGGAGCAGTAGCAGCACCGCACTTGGCGGAAGACGAGGATCCGGAAGAAGAGAAGGCGGTTGAAGTTGCCGAAGGCCTCGCCGACTTCGGAGTACCACAAGCAGAGGAAGAAGTCAGAGTCGGAGGCGGAAGAATGAGAGGCGAAAAGTGAGGTCTCTTTGGAGAGGCGAGCTCGGCCTCGTGCCTGCTGGCACTCTCCACAGAGCCATGTGGCAGGTGGATTTGGAGGCATTGGAGGGGGCGCAGTAGCTGAAGAGAGGCTTGTGGGTTCGAGGGTCGAGTCCCACGCACAAGAGTCGCTTCTTCAAGTGGGTGTTCCACATTTTCTTTATCTCATCGTCAGTTCTTCCTGGTTGCTGTAATGCTCTGCCGTCCACCTGTAATTTCAATCTATACTAATCACGCTGAACTTGCGCAGGATGATATCTCATGCTGCCCACCATATTTTCTCCTCCTCTTCGAGTCTTCCTTCATCTTCATCTTTATCTTCAAGCTCTCCATGCACCACCCAGTAATTTCATTATTTTCTGCAGTGGACTCGGATCAGAATGTCACATGACCTTTGTCAGTATTTGCAAAATAAAAGATACTCTGTTTACCTCTGTTTTCGGGACAAGAAACAGAGGTAAACCAAAGAACTAATTCAGACCACCACGCATGCATGCGCTTACCCCAGAAAGAGTGAATGAATGAATCTTCCGAAAAAAACTCCATCCGGTGAAGTGCTCATCTTTCCCCTTCGGTCTTCTTGGATCGCGTTCGAAATCAGATTTCCCTTCGTCTCTTAAAGATAAAGATTTAAAGTCTGAATAGAGTGCATGTGAATGGGCGCCTTCTGCAAGTCGTACGTGGTGAAGACGCCCGGAGACTAGTCTTCACATTTAACTGGAAGTAACTTCTTGCTCCAACTGCTCAAGTGGATCTTCCACCAATCACATCTTGGTTTCTTCAACTCCCCATAATTCGCAATCTATAATAATGTAAAATATTAGATACAAATATATTTGGAATTAGCACCCTTAACTTTGCACCTTTAAATAAGATGCTGATGTGGTGGGCACTGGGGGCAGAACCATTGTTTAGAAAGGTGGGGTCCATTGCATTAAATTTGGAAGCTTGTAACTAGGCATGACGAACTCGTCTGAGGTGCCCATACGCGGTTGAATCGATGGAGTGACCTGCCTGTTGGGAAGAGACCTGTCATGTAATACTCAGAGCCAGAGGTGATCTTCGAGCTTGATGATGAGCCGCCGGCAAAGTGAAGCTGGATGTGTTTGATCGGAGATGTCTCGGGGAGTCCAAGCTCCGGCGAAATTTTTGATTTTTCTGATATGGCGTTGTAAGAGGAGGAAGAGAACTTGACATTGTAAAATTTTATTGGTCAAAACCTAACAATTTAACAGTCAACGTTATTGGGTTGATGGTAGAATAATTTTGTCAATTTTTTAAAAGTTTTGAGTAAAATTACTCTATCAAAAAGTTTAGCATGCCAACCCCGTAAAAATGCTCCAAATTAGTTTTACCCTTAAATCCATTTTTTTTTATATCCAAACCATATTAATTCCAATATATTTGATCTCAAAAGGGCTTTTGCAAATATCAAAATGGCAACCAAACACGCCCGAATCTCAAGTTGTTTGAGATGTCATCTTTCTGTTTTGGTGGCAGCTGGTATATCTTTGATTTTTTGTTTTGTTTTTTTTGTTTTGGTGCATATGCATGTGAAAAGGAATCTAATTACTGAGAAAAAAGCGACCATGGTAAATAAGTTGAATACTAATGTCTCGACTTAAATCGGCTACCAATACGGCGTTGACGCTAGTTGCCCTTGATAGCTTGGATGAATCATAAATGGCAAATTTTGGATTGCTTCCTTTCGCTTTTGGATTGGGTGAGTATCTTAAAGTTATTCACTCAAGAAAGTTTCAATAAGAATTATAAGATTCATCAACATTTAAAATTGATCGAAATATTAAAAATTATCAAAATACATTTTTTTAAAAAAATTCAAACACAACGTTATGATCACAATCCTTATATACATTGTACCATCTAAAAAATTTGGGATTTGGTGTTTTTTTACTGTCACATAATAAATCTTTTATACATGTTCAATTAAATATAACAATTATTATTATGCTTCATGTATATGAGAACTCATTGAATGAGTAAAATTAGATTACTCATAGATCCAACCTTCCTTGCAAGGTGTAATGTATCAAGTTAATATTTAAATGATTATAATAAACTATAAAAATTTGGCGATGGCTTCCTCCATGAGAGAAGCCTGCTCCACCCTTGATGAGGGAAGAACAAATTTGGGCTATCCAAATTCAATATTTTTAACTTTTATTTTTAAAATTAAAAAATATATAAAATTTATAATTTTTTAATAATATGCTTATTAATATGAATGTTTAAATTTAATATGAATGATTCAAATTTAATATTAAAATTTTTAATAAATTTATTGCTCCATTTAATATATCTGCACTATTTAAAATATATTAAAAAAGTTAAGTTAAATTTAATAATTAAATTTAGATAATCCATATTAAATCTGGACTATCAAATTAATACACATATTTATTAAAAATTTGTACAATTTTTATATTTTCTATTTAACAAATATAAATTAAAATATTAAATCTAAATTGTCTTGATTAATTAAAAAGCACAGATTTACCCCTCCTCAACGGAGGGGTGGAGCAAGCTTCCCTCTACCCCTAAAAATTTGGGTCAAACCCAAAATCCGTAAGGATAAGGAAGTAGAAACTAAAAACTAAATGAAAAGTAATGGAATGAGCAGGGATATGATAAGGTTTAAATCTTACTGATATAATAAACACAAGAAAAATGATTGAAAGTGTATAGAGAAAATTTGGAACGTGGATTGTGAAAATGCATCATAATCCTTTGTTAATGATCAATTTTATTTTTAATTATGACTAAAAAATTTATTTTTAATGATTTGTTAAAATATATTATGGCCCCATTTAAGAGGCATACATACAATGGGGAATTTGTTTAGATTACAAAATTCTATTTGTTACCAAAACAAATTCTCTTTCAAGGTTGTTAACCAAAGTTTGTGTGTGTGGCTCAATACACACACATATTAAAAAGAAAAAATTATAATAAAGGACCTGAAAAAATTAATATTTATAAAAGAGAATCTTAAAATAGTTTATTATTTAGAAGGACCCAAATGTCAAAATATAATTTTTAAAATACTATATGGCTCTTAATTATGTCTCCTAATTTTTTTAACCACATCTCACATGATTTGACCGTTCCGAGTTACTAAAAAAAACATATATTTAGAGGAAGAAAAGTTATCTATATATATATATATATATATATAAAAACAAGGAATGAAAAACAACAAACAATAACATCAATTTTTCAAGAAAATTAATAATATCGTCTCCCTTAAAAATTCATGAGTTTAAAGATTGAGATAGTGTGTTCTTGACAGAATTATATAATTTAAAAAATTGATTCAATTATTTTTAAAAAGTTAGAGATTTTTAATAAATCATATTAATTCAATTATTTAATAGTAAATATTTTTTAAATTATTTTATTTTATTTAAATTTAATCCTATTTTATTTTTGGATATGAAATTGAAAAAACAAAACAACTTTATTTCTAAAGGATTAATTTTATAACTGGGCAGTACCCATGTTAATTTTAAAGCTAATAGATTTTATACATAGGTTATAATAGTCAATTACACTTATATTGGTCCTTCATCCTAATTTAATTTTTATGGTCTTTTATAATAAATTTTAGCCGTATCAAATTCCTCTTCCAAATTTTCTCTATCCAAATTAGTTTTACCCTTAAATCCATTTTTTGTTTATATCCAAACCATATTAATTCCAATATTATTTGATCTCAAAAGGGCTTTTGCAAATATCAAAATGGCAACCAAACACGCCCGAATCTCAAGTTGTTTGAGATGTCATCTTTCTGTTTTGGTGGCAGCTGGTATATCTTTACCCTTAAAAAATGCTCCAAATTAGTTTTACCCTTAAATCCATTTTTTTTTTATATCCAAACCATATTAATTCCAATATTATTTGATCTCAAAAGGGCTTTTGCAAATATCAAAATGGCAACCAAACACGCCCGAATCTCAAGTTGTTTGAGATGTCATCTTTCTGTTTTGGTGGCAGCTGGTATATCTTTGATTTTTTGTTTTTTGTTTTTTTGTTTTTGGTGCATATGCATGTGAAAAGGAATCTAATTACTGAGAGAAAAGAGCGACCATGGTAAATAAGTTGAATACTAATGTCTCGACTTAAATCGGCTACCAATACGGCGTTGACGCTAGTTGCCCTTGATAGCTTGGATGAATCATAAATGGCAAATTTTGGATTGCTTCCTTTCGCTTTTGGATTGGGTGAGTATCTTAAAGTTATTCACTCAAGAGTTTCAATAAGAATTATAAGATTTCATCAACATTTAAAATTGATCGAAATATTAAAAATTATCAAAATACATTTTTTTAAAAAAATTCAAAACAACAGTTATGATCACAATCCTTATATACATTGTACCATCTGAAAATTTGGGATTTGGTGTTTTTTTACTGTCACATAATAAAATCTTTATACATGTTCAATTAAATATACAATTATTATTATGCTTCATGTATATGAGAACCTCATTGAATGAGTAAATTTAGATTACTCATAGAATCCAACCCTTCCTTGCAAGGTGTAATGTACAAGTTAATATTTAAATGATATAATAACTATAAAAAATTTGGCGATGGCTTCCCTCCATTGAGAGAAGCCTGCTCCACCCCTTGACTGAGGGAAGAACAAATTTGGGCTATCCAAATTCAATATTTTTAACTTTTATTTTTAAAATAAAAAATATATAAAAGTTATAATTTTTTTAATAAATATGCTTATTAATATGAATGTTTAAATTTAATATGAATGATTCAAATTTAATATTAAAATTTTTAATAAATTTATTGCTCCATTTATAATATATCTGCACTATTTAAAATATATTTAAAAAGTTAAGTTAAATTTTTAATATTAAATTTAGATAATCCATATTAAATCTGGACTATCAAATTAATACACATATTTATTAAAATTTGTACAATTTTTTATTTTCTATTTAAAAATATAAATTAAAAATATTAAATTTAAATTGTCTGGATTAAATTTAAAAAGAACAGATTTACCCCTCCTCAACGGAGGGGTGGAGCAAGCTTCCCTCTCCCCCTAAAAATTTGGGGTCCAAAATCCGTAAGGAAGTAGAAACTAAAAATAAATGAAAGTAATGGAATGAGCAGGGATATGATAAGGTTTAAATCTTACTGATATAATAAACACAAGAAAAATGATTGAAAGTGTAATAGAGAAAATTGGAACGGTGGATTGTGAAAATGCATCATAATCCTTTGTTAATGATCAATTTATTTTTAATTTATGACTAAAAAATTTATTTTTAATTGATTTGTTAAATTATAATATGGGCCCCCATTTAAGAGGCATGCATACAATGGGGAATTTGTTTAGATTACAAATTCTCTTTGTTACCCCAAAAAATCTCTTTCAAGGTTATTAACCAAAGTTTGTGTGTGTGTGGATCAATCACACCACATATTAAAAAGAAAAAATTATAATAAAGGACCTGAAAAAATTAATATTTATAAAAGAGAATCTTAAAATAGTTATTATTTAGAAGGACAAATGTCAAAATATAATTTTTAAAATACTATATGGCTCTTAATTATGTCTCCTAATTTTTTTTAACCACATCTCACATGTATTTGACCGT